TAGCGGTCCAGTTGTAAATGGGCCTCCCAAGCCCAAGGCTTGGGAGCCCAGCCCGTATTTTCTCTATAAATACTCCCCTTGGGAGTAGTTATAGGGGTTACGAATTCATTCTATTGAAGCATATTATTGCACTTCTCTCTCTAGCTCTCACTTCTCTCTAGATATACTCTATCACCGCTGCTCTCCTTCTCCAGGGAGAGCAGCGGCCAGTTCATACGGTATACCAGATTTGGTTTCAATCTTGTCGATATCTTCCTATCTGCTTCTTCATAACTGCTTTGGTTGTATGATTGTTTAGTATTCTGGGATTAACATTTGGTATCAGAGAAGAGGCGTGAAACAGGTTGGATCTATTTGCGATTTTTTGGATCTAACGAAGAACTGCTCTGCTTTTCTTCTGTTTTTCTATATGTAGAGATTTGCTTCTGTAATCTTGTTTGTGAACGAAATTTTGTAAAATTCATACTGTTGGACTCGCCTTTCAAAACCGATCCAGCAACACACCTCTTTTTTCGTTTTCTGCAATTTTTATATTTCGAAGATCTCTACATTGAGATCTCGAAATCCTTATTTTTCACTGCTGCAGAAACATTTTTGGCTTGAAACTGATACATGATAATCTCGACCTTCAGGGCTTTTCAGAACAGGTTTCAGATTTTCAAAAATCGATGTTTTCATTTTCCAGGATCTCGACATTTAGGGACTCGATTTCCTCTTCTCGACTTCTTCTCGACTTTTGAGATCTCGAGATTTGGATCTCGACATCTTGATCTCGAGATTTGAATCTCGATATCTTGATCTCGAGATTTGAATCTCGATATCTTGATCTTGAGATTTGAAATTCGACATCTTGATCTCGAGATTTGAATCTCGACATCTTGATCTCGAGATTTGAATCTCGAAATCAAGATCTCGAGATTTGAATCTCGAAATCAAGATCTCGAGATTTGTAATCTCGAGTTTTGACATCTCGAGTTTTGGAATTTCGAGTTTAGGAATTTCGAGTTTTGGGATTTCGACATTTGGGATCTCGATGTTTTGGATCTCGACATTCTGAAGATTTCGAGATTTTCAAAATTTCTCGATGTTTTGAATCTTTCAAAGTTTGCAGTTCTTGGAACTCATAATTCGAATCTTGACATCCTTTGCAGTTCATCGAAGCTTTACATTATAGGATCTCTGAATGATTCCCTGCTTATAAATGTTTCAGGAGTTTTCGATGTTCTGATGTTTTTCAAACAGCAAGTTTTCGAGATTATGAGGTTTTCGAAACTCCAAAGTTTTCGATGTTCAAACATTTTGAAATTCTGCAGATTTCGATATTCTGAGGTTTGTTTTGCAGGTGGATTTCGCCATTATTCTTTGAGGCAACCTCGAGATTGGGATTTCAAATTATTGCCTTAGAATTTTGTTTAAAATCCACTTGCTCTCGATATTCATCATCGAGAACCTCAACTTCGAAGAAATTCCTCAAAAACTCAAAATTAGAGATTTTCTGCGACACCGCACTGTTTTGGCCATAACTTTTGACTCGGTGATCCGATTTGAGCAAACGTTTTTTGTTGGAAAGCTAACGAAAAGATCTACATTAATTCTCGGGCTATGCCCCAGAACCCTTTCTCACGCGCCCTCACTCACAGTCTTTGAGGGTCAAAACGTTAGTTTTCCGACAAACATTGTAAATCACCGATGTCCAGGTCAAAACTTAGGCAAATCTGTTCAAATTCTTTCAATGTCAACCCTGAGGTCAAACATGTTCTAAACCTAACTGTAAAGGTCCGAAAGTCGTAGATAATTCAATCAACCTCGCGTCAACGGTCATCTTACAACAATCAACAATCAACTGCTGAAGCCTCCCTTGACTCGTCAACATTATGTGATCATCAATATGCTGAAATTCTACATGATGAGCTCAGGGAAACCGTCATGTGTGGTACATGTTCAAATTGCTCCACACACATGGCGAGTATGACAAGCAGTGAGCAATCAAACCTTGCACATTCTGAGGGGGAGTTTCAGTTTTCTCCTCCTGGCGCCTTACACCGACAAAGCAAGGAATCTCTCAAAGGATGCAACATTTTAGGGGGGGTGTTCAATGTTATCCTTCCCGGTGCCTAACAATGACAAAGCATACCGAGTACTCCAGTTGAGGGGGAGTACAGAGACAAAATGAAGAAAGTAATGAGAGAACATGTCCCTATGGCTTAGTAAACCCAACTAAGCCTACCCAAGGGACAAAGCCGAGCGTAAGTGCGTAAGTGAGCGAGTGAGTGAGTGAACATTATGAGCATTAGGAAGCAGAAGGCTCAAGTGAGAAGAAAAACAATTATCAATGATGAGTCTGCTACCTCAATTGCCTGCTATGAATTGAACATTTGCTCCTAGCCACTAAAATACTCTGGACTGTCCCCATAGGTTCAGGACTGAATTTATTCAGATCCCGGGTAGAAGTCGCTGCATTTTTTCCAAACGGCGCATGCACAACCCTACCCTAGACCACTCACTTGTCTCCCAACAGACAGATGTTTAATCATAGTTCACGGGGAACCGCATCTCTCATTACTACCTCCTTACGAGGCAAGTAATACTGACTACAGTGGCCTCAACCCCATGCCACTGAACTTTCATTGATCACGTCGTGTCTAGTTACCTCACTCCCAAATGTTTTGAAATTTCTAGGACACAGACGCACTTTTTGAGTCAGTTGCAGGTCTTCAAAGACCCGCGAGAACTTCCATAGGTCTCATCTATTGCAGATGTAGACTAATGATTGGAAGGAAGTCCTGCTGTTGCAACATAAGAATCACCAACATTTTCAGGCCATCGCTAAAGAGTTTATCTCTATAGTGATGATAACGGGCGTCTTCACGACCCCGGGGGGCTACGTTATCTTCTTTAGATTCTGCTTGTTTTTCCTGTTTTTATTTCCGCAGAATAAAAGAATAAAGGCATGACGCCCCGAATCATCGGATCGTCATGAGGGGGAGAGTGGTCCACATGCTGTTAACTGTCAAAAAATCATTCTGGGACACTTCTCTCCTCCTACACTCTCTCTACTATCTCCGCTACGTTCACAATTCAACTCAAATGGTCAGCTACGTTCACAATTCAACCATCATTATGTTCCGCTGTGCCACCGACAAGTTCTCCTCAAAAGCATTCATTCCAAATAGTCAAAAAGACTACATTGTGGAGGAGACAGAGGTCAAATACTCGTGTCCTGAAGATGAATTCCATGGGCGTCTCCTATTCTCCAAAGAATATTCATTCTTGAGGCGTCACCGGATTTCATCTATGCTGATCAAGAGAAACTTCTGGAAGGCAAGGTTTACATGCAAAATACTGAAGGTCCCTCAACACCCGGCATCAAAGATCAAATTGTCAAGAAGGCATCAAAGGGGAGATTGCAAGGATTTCTTCAGATAGCCTTCCTCAGAAGTCAAGTTCAAAGACAAAGGAAGCTCAATAACAACAAAGACAAAGATATCTGCGCTGCAATGCTGATTGAACACGATTGATCACCAAGGGGGAGATTGTTGGGAATATTTTATGGTGTTCAATCTAGTTAGTTATCTTTGTATTTGTGTAGTTATCAATTAAACGTGTAATACGGGCCACAAATGTGTATCAGCCTGGGGGCTTCCTTGTAACCCGTAAGTTAGCCAACTTCTCCTATAAAAGGAGGCTAACTTACGGGAACCCTATCAATCGATATAGAGGCTGAGAGCCCAAGAGGTGTAAAGATAGTAAGAGGCGATGACAGGATATTTCCCGTCACGAAATGTCTTCTATGACGAGATAAGAATTTTTAACCAAAGTATTTCCCCTCATTATAAGCAAACGTTCTTGATGACTTAGTGGTAATACTGTGGTTAAAAATGTCTTTTAACCACACTATTTCCCCTCACGAAATGTCTTTTATATACATATCCTACTTTGATCATGATTTCCTACTAACATATATAATCAATTAATCAAATTATCATGTGCACTTTCCAAATATTAAATTTTTATAATGTTTATTAATATGTAATTAAATATAATTACAGTCAAAATTATGTATTGACGAACATAAAAGTCAAAGTGTTGCAATTAAAAAAAACAGATGTAATATTATTAGACTTGATACCATTACGGTTCGATTTGACACTCACTCTTTTCACGTCGCATGCCCATCCCTAGGTTGGAGTCGATGGACAATAACAAATTTAAAACTATTAAATTAAATTACGGAGTAGATTTTTATTTGAATTGTAAAGTATCAAACGTTTCAGTTTTGTATCGGACTAAGAATGTTTTTACTTGAATTGTTTTTAGTCCCGGATCAGACCAGACCAAATACGACTTGGAGATCAAGGTCACTCCTCCACCTCGGCGGCAACCGTGAACGAAGGTCGTTCCTTGTTCACCAGTTGACAACTTCAGGACGACAACACAGTCCCCTCTCACACTATTTTCGGCGTGTCCATGCATTCTAGGTGGGAGTCCCTACCAGCCGTGAAATCCCTTGGCTCCAACAGCTCCGGGCAAACCTCCAATGGTGACGAAGTTCGAGGCCACAACGCCCCAGAGCACACTAGTAGCAGAGAGTCGGAGGTCCTCCCACGACCTAGTGCAAGGTGCCCCTTCCATTTCTCTTCGCCGACTTTGGATACATGTATTACTGTTGGTTTTTCTCCCCAGCCCTGCAGATGAAATTTTAGTGAAGATAGAGGACAATGTTGACTTCTATCGAGCAAAGAGATGTTTTAGATCAAACTTTGTGGGCCAACATGCCACATTTAATTTAGAATCAGTTCTCACTAAAAATAGCCTAATTCGTTAGCCAAAGTGTTTTAAACATGCTAATACAATTTTGTACTAAATGAATACTAATTTTTCAATTTTATGTACTTCTCAATCACAATTGCATTATTGTGTACTTTTTACTGTAGAGCTTCCAACTTGATGTACTCACGTGACATTCTCCTTTTAAATTTTTTTATCCGGTTCCTTATAATTACGGATCGGTTCAGGATTAATGGTTCAGGGCCTGAAATGGCGGGAAAAAGCCCTAATCAAGACCCGGGAACTGTCCGTCCCGGCTGCCTTTCCTGGTGTCCCCAGCAGAAGAAATAAGAATCGCAGAGTTGATATTCAACGCAGGATGTCTACTTCCGGCGAAGAGTTCGCTCAATTCGACATCTCCGTGGAGGTATGCCTTGCTTCTCGAACCAGAAGCGTGTGGTTTTGTTTTGATTCTAACCGGTTTGTGTGGCAGGAAAAGGACAAGCTCGTCGGAGAAGTAATGCGCTATGTTCTATTCAAGACTGAGCAGAGTTCTGGGTGTCCTGTAAAGAGGGAGGAGTTGACTCAATTGGTCACTGGGAGAAACTATCGGCAGAGGAATCTACCTGCTTTCATCATCAATGAGGCCAGGAATAAGTTCGAGGAAATTTTCGGTTACGAAATGAAGGAGCTTCAGCGCGCCCGTTTGTCCACCACTAATCGCATCTCTCAGCAAGGTTTCTATTATAAATTTTCTGAATTTCGGTTATCAGCATTTCGGCCCAACTGAAGTATATGAAGACTGGATCTTTTTGGCTTGCTATGATATTTCATAGCAGATTAACAGTGATGTTACACGTTTTCTTCATGAAAATAATAATTCATAATCTAACTGCTCTTTATTTTAGTAATTAGGAAACCCGTGCTCTTAGTTTTTTCAACTTTCAAGTAATTGCATTGTTTAGTCTTTTTGTATTTTTTGCTCTGCTGTAATCCTTATTGGTGGATATATAATTGCTGACAGTTACCAGTGAAGCAAAATCATATATCCTCATCAGTAAGTTACCTCCAAAAGCCTACAAGGAGTGCGTGGAGGATGTGAACAAATCACCCATTAACATCTTCACCTTTGTGGTCATAAGTATTATTTATCTTGCTGGAGGAAACATCACAGAGGAAGATCTTTGGCGTCATTTGAGACGGTTGGGTTTGACGGAGACAGATGAAAACCATCCTGTTCTTGGTAACTTAAAAGTGACATTGGAGTCACTTGTTCAGAAAAGGTCAGTGTGAATCTATTGGTGTGGTACAGTGATAAAGTCTGGTTCTTGACTAGCTTTAAGGCTTTGGCTTTTTGCCGAGCAGGTATGTGCATAAAGAGAAAGTCCATGGCCCTGAAGGGAATGTTATACATTACGAACTGGCTGAGCGAGCTCTGGATGAGGATATTAATAAAAAAATGAAAGATCATATAAACAAGGTATGGTTATGGCTTTTATTAGTTTTAGTTCCCATGTCTGCGGTAATCTTATGTCACTCCATATGTATCTACATGTGAATATGTGATACACAATGTAGAGTTGTGTATTTGTTAGTCCAATTTTATTACTTTGTCTATCCCATATCATTTGCCTTTTGAGCTATAACAACTTCTACAAAGTTATGATTGTTTTCAAAATTCAGTATAGATTTTCAGGAATATTTTTAAAATGCTGAATTGCTGAAATTAAGGATCTGTTTGGTAATCAGTTGTGGGCTTGTGGTTTATTCTGCTTTTTAATAGAATAGTCAGAATATGTAGATTTTGATGTGCTTTATATGAACCGACAAATGTTACCAATGCTTTTCCTTTTAGAAACACAGTCAATGTATTCATTTCAGCCTAATAACCCTTAGCAAGCAAACCGTATCCTCTCTTATACCCCTGTTTCACTAAAGTGTGCTAACTTTTCTTATTTAGGCGTCCTAAAAACTTTGACACTTTCCCTTTGAGTTAACAAATTTGTGTTTAACATGATTTCTTTCTCCTTCGCCCAAACTTCAACTAAACATTTTTTACTTTGTACACCACGTGCCAGTCAAAATTGGCCAAATATTGTTGGACAAAAGGAGTATTAATTTTTTTCGTATCTCTAAATAAGTCTTGGAAACAAAATAGACATTCAATTTTGAATCTAAGTCAGGATTGAAGACTCATTCTATATTCTTTTATATGCATGCGTTTTTGTAATGTGACTACTATTTAGGGGCAAAGCAGTTAAACGCTTAGGCTTATTTGATTTTAATAATTTTGAATCCACATTGCTGTTTTCATATCCTTTTCATTGGCTTTATATGCAACATTTTGAAATATGCTCTATCTCTACTTTTGGAATGGAGGCTTCCTCTAATTGTAAATTATACGGTTCACCTGGTTGTACGGTACTCACCATACAACCGGGTATTTTATGTTAAAAGAAATGAGTATAAAGCTTAAAACAAATGAGTATTAGTGTTGAATTATAAAGTTAGCACTACAAATATTTTGATGATAATACAATGATGATATAATTAAATGAATAAGTTGATTTATAGCATATATATTACGTGTAGATCATGATACTCGGTTTCATGTTTCTAATACTCAATTGTACTACTAATAAAATGATTTAATACCAATACTAATATCTTTTAAACGTTATACTCATTTCTTTTACTATAAAATACTCAATTATACAGTGAGCACCGTACAACCGACTGTACTATGTACGCTCTCTCATTAAATTAGCTCAAAATGATTGCTTTTAGTTTTGCATGAAGACAGAGCAGCATGTTAGATAATCCTTTTTCCTTCACTTGGAATATTTGCTGTGTTTAGCATGGCTTACAGTTTCCTAGAGAAGAAGCTAATTGGTGTAAGCTAACTCTAATGTTTATGGATTATAGCTATTTTTTGTAAACTAGTTAGGACCTAATCATGCACATCAAACAAATCCATTTTCCTATTTAGTGGGGGTTGGCAATAAACAAATTACATACATCATCTCAAACTTCCATAAAACTTGTTCAAGACATGAGTTATTAAAAGGACTTCCCTAGGAAGATACTTGAGCTGTAGTCATATGTTCTGTTCCTAAAAATCCTTCATAGTCTCCACCTAAGCGCCAGGCGGTTGACTTTGTTTTTTTACCCAAATTGACCTGCCCTACCAAGGTTTTAGCCCCCCCGACCACCAGTCTAATGCCGGTCTCCGTTTACAATATTGGTTATATCTTAGTCTTAGTTTGGATGAAGTCATTTTAATAAACTTGTTACTTGTTAGTGAGTCGCTCACCCTTAAAAACCGAATGGAGGAGATAAATGAAGGGAACCCCCATAGTTTACCATGGCAGCATAAAGACGACTATGTAGGGGTAGATGGGCATGGGGTTGCACCATTGGGTCAGTGGTGCTAGCAGTTCGGGCAAATAGTCCTTGGCCAATTACGTTATGAACGGGTGATGTCCTCTTCCCCCCGGATAAGGCCGACATGTTTTAAAGCAGGCTTACCTTAAAAACTTGTTTTTTTGGCCATTCGGGTTGAAGCATGGCAAGTCTTATTGTTGCATTTAATGCTGGGAATAGTTTTAGAACAGTCTCTTTGTGCTTTAGAATAGGGGTAAGACTGCGTATATCCGACCCCCTTACCCCACCATAGGTGAGAGCCTTTGCGGTGCTGGGGTAATGATGAAGAATGATGTAGACTATTACCCATTGAAGCTATTTTTCATGCTGTTGCAGATTGTGCAAGAGGATATCATCTCTTTCGATGATGATTAGCTGATCGTAGCGGCCAGAAATGCATATTGTGCTTTTGGTAAGTGACCTAGGAAACATGCAACACAATGGCTACTTTTCTTTTTGCGATTTCTGTAGACTCATACAAGGAAGGGATTGCTTTACAGTGGTGTATTTTTTCCTTGGTGGCTGCAAATGTGTGTCTTTGTAATTCTTTTTATGTTGTAGCCAAACAGTACATAGACGTTGCAAAAGTAGCCAAGCATTTGTAGCCATTCCCCAACTTGTTGGCTCATTAAAAATCCCTTCAAAAAAGAATGCGGGATCAGTTAAAGGGTATTTTGTCAAATTCATGACATTTCGTGAAGCAAACTTTCACCTCACCAAAAGGAATTGAATTTTCAACCGTGCAAAGTGGGCATAGAGAATGGGTATTTGTCTAATTGACCCCCTTGCTGACAAATGTTGCGGAACATTAAATTTCTTACCATTTTAAGTTACTTTTACATGTGGGCAGGGATATCTCACCCCAACAACCCCATTGCTCAATTAAGTTTTTGGCAATTGTCTGATTGATCAGTTTTGTGTAAAATTATTGGTGGATTCACATGGCATTGTACTACCACCCACACAGCCTGACAAAAAAAAACTTACCTTGGACCATTTAAGAAGGAAAGAAATAATAATTTATTTTCCAGTTCCAGCTTATAAATCAACCAAACGCTTCTGTTGCTTTTTCTTGATGTTTGGTTCCCATTGGAGGAATAGTTTCTGCCTAATTGCATTTGCCATTGGAGGGTGTGGGCCATATCTCTGAGGGAGTTTTGTCAGTGCGGCGAACATGATTTTGGTTTGGAGTTTACGCATGATAGTTTTTCCCTTCCAAGGCCTGTGTGGGGTGAGACCATCCATTCAAATCAAACACAAAAATCCACTCAATTGTTATCTCTGTCAGTTTAGCTATCCTTTTAGATTTCTGGTTTTCAGAAACAACAAGTTTGGAAGGCATCTATTCTTCTTATCCACACAAAAAAAGTTATTTTCGTATTAATACTGGTGATGTTATTCAAAACAAGCTTTTTTTTTGCTGGGTGGATGCTAATTAAACTACAAGTCGGACACATCGTCCAACAAAGAGGTATCTTGTCTCTTTTGTCTGCAGATTTGAAGGTTTGTAATGGGCGATGGATGAGAAGGCCATATATAGGGGAGGAGGAGCATGTGACATAGTGACAATATATTCAGCATGCTTTCCAAAAGGTTCTGCCAAACATATATAGGGGAGGAGGAACCTTTGTATTAATCATGCACCAATACCACACTTATTGTGGTGAAACCGCCCATTAAACAGTCTTACTGGGTTGGAATGTTACATGTCATTAGCCACACATTTAACCATGCATTAATCACGTACTACAGTTTCAAAACGTTAACCAATGTTCGAAACACTGAGAGCTCAAAGCAAAAATTAAAACGTCCATTAACCGACGGTTGTTCTATGTTTAGTTCTACCCAGTGGCGGAACTAGGGGAGGCGAGCCGGTGCCGGCGCTCCCCCTTCTCCGACGGTGGTTCTGTATATATATATATATGTATATATCTCAACCCCGATTCAGAAAGTATTCATATATTAAAGTGGATTCGCTATTTGAACGTATGAGTTGTGATAGTTTAAATGGTAGGGTGGAGGTTGGGAGAGCTCTATCTACCTAAATGGCCTAGGTTCAATTCTCAAGAGCAATTTTTTTTTTTGCTTTCTCCATTATTACTTCTTTAGACTTTAGCCCATTTGGTAATTATTTATGTTCAATTAAATCACTCTAGGATGTAATGTTGTTTAAATCACACTTTTTGAATTTCTATATCTTTTATTTTAAATTCTCATTTCTTCAATTCAAATTAATTTTAATCATTTCTTCTTCTAATAATGACATATACGGACGTTGTCATTTAATGTCAAGAATAATTCTAAAACTACTTTAAGTTAATATAAGTATTTACCTTTTGTTTAGTATAATAGCATTTTTATTTGAAACACGCTACATATACATATATATAAGTTTTGGATCAAATAAAAAGAGTTCTTATCATGAAAATTGATCGAGAATAAATCTTGTGCATTTAACTTGAGATCCAATGAGTCAAAATCAGTCAACAATGCACTATATTTTATCAAAAACTCGATGACAATTTGATAAATAAATCAAAATTTTCTCTCATTGTGAAAAAGTGTAAAATAAATATCTACTAGTGTACCAAAACGAGTAAAAAATGCGTCCGTTCTCATTTTTCACGGGAATAACTCTTTTTATTAGAACCTTACTCTATATGTATTAATAATTATTTTTCACTCGTTTTTATTTTATCCTAATAAAAAATTGTTTTTCAAAAAAAAAAAAAAATAAGAGCACCCCCTCAAATTATTGTCTGGTTACTGCAAGAAGTGTACTCCACCCAACGTCATCTATAGTTTAATGGAAAGGTCTAGAAGTTCTAGAAAATCCAAATGGGGAACTTCATCAAGTCATGTAATTATCAATTATGAAACATCATTGAAGAAGGTGGTAATTTTATGTCATTACAATTGTCTCTACCAAATGTATTATTGTTTCTAAACCAATTTTGGATACACTACCGATAATTTGAGGGGTGCTCTTATATTTTTTTTTTGAAAAACAATTTTTTATTAGGATAAAATAAAAACGAGTGAAAAATAATTATTAATACATATAGAGTGAGGTTCTAATAAAAAGAGTTATTCCCGTGAAAAATGAGAACAGACGCATTTTTTACTCGTTTTGGTACACTAGTAGATATTTATTTTACATTTTTTCACAATGAGAGAAAATTTTGATTTATTTATCAAATTGTCACCGAGTTTTTGATAAAATATAGTGCATTGTTGACTGATTTTGACTCATTGGATCTCAAGTTAAATGCACAAGATTTATTCTCGATCAATTTTCATGATAAGAACTCTTTTTATTTGATCCAAAACTTATATATATGTATATGTAGTGTGTTTCAAATAAAAATGCTATTATACTAAACAAAAGGTAAATACTTATATTAACTTAAAGTAGTTTTAGAATTATTCTTGACATTAAATGATAATGTCCGTATATGTCATTATTAGAAGAAGAAATGATTAAAATTAATTTGAATTGAAGAAATGAGAATTTAAAATAAAAGATATAGAAATTCAAAAAGTGTGATTTAAACAACATTACATCCTAGAGTGATTTAATTGAACATAAATAATTACCAAATGGGCTAAAGTCTAAAGAAGCAATAATGGAGAAAGCAAAAAAAATTGTTGCTCCTAAGAATTGAACCCAGGCCATTTAGGTAGATAGAACTCTCCCAACCTTCATCCTACCATTTGAACTATCACAACTCATACGTTCAAATAACGAATCCACTTTAATATATGAATACTTTCTGAACCGGGGCTGAGATATATACATATATATATATATAGAACGTAACCACCGCCGGAGAAGGGGGAGCGCTGGCACCGGCTCACCCCCTAGTTCCGCCACTGGCTCCAAGTTAGGATTTTCCTGCGTAATATATATCTATCTTGTGGGGGCTTATGAGATCAACATGAAATACATATTTATTATTCTTTTTACATCTATCTTCTGGGGGCTTATGAGATCAACATGAAATACATATTTATTATTCTTTTTGCATTTATGTGTAAACATAGATGTATGTACATTATATCTACGGAAAATAATAGGAGATTTGACTTTGCGCTCCATTTTTTTGGATGATATTTGACTTTGTGCCATACTTTCAAAATTATTAGTTTATACACCTCACTCCAAATCCAATATATTGCCCAAAACATGGAATGCAATGTCAAATTTTCCCATAATAATAATAATATACTTTCATAAACCTCTTCACCCATATCAATATATTTCCAAGTACCTAAAATAATTCTACTTCCCTCCATATTTTTGTTGACATTTCTCCTATTTGAAATGTTCCAAAAAGTTCTTATTTTTCACAAAATTACAAACAAGTAATTTCACTCTTTAATAAGTATGTGAAGTCAATTAAATTGATTTTTTTGGGGTGGGGGATACAATAACAACAACACAAAACACTAACTATATGAGTATTAAGAGAAAACACGTACTCTATTTGTTCTTAAACTATGATACATTCATTCATATTTTGGAAATGATTTGATTTATTCTATTAATAGAATTAAATAAGTCTTATTTTGAAAATAAAAAAATGTATTATATCTTATTTCGGAATTGTATGTGTCCTTGTTTTACTACTTCTATTTTGATAATGATATAGTACGGAGTATGAAGGAAGTAGTATACTTGGTATATATATTATTATCAAACTATACTACGGAGTGGTATGTATAGTACTACCCTCCCTCACTATATATTACAGGGCCGGCCCTGAGGGTGTGTAGGGTGTCTAACCGCACAGGGTCCAAAAAATCGGAAGGACCCAATTTTTTTGTAGTAATATACTACTACATTTGTCCCAAATTGATTTGCAAATTTGATTTTTCTTGGTCAAACAATTTCATTTTATTTGCTTAATTAGGATGTCAATTTTTAATAATATTCTAATTTGGAATTTACAAAAAATATTGACTTTGCAAAACAATTTGAGACGGAGGGAGTAGTATTACTTAGAAGTGGAGCGTATATATAGGAACGAAGGAGTATTAAATCCTCCGTTTTCGAAACTAAAAAGATAAGAAGCGAGGCATGCAGGATTCGAACCCAGATGAAAATAAAATCATGCATGCTGATCTCTAAACATCAACCCACTCGACCGAATCAACTAATTGTTGAAATAAGGACGTACAAGCTTTATATTACCTATTCGTTCTACAAAATAAATAATTAAAAATACCTCTTAATAAAAATCGGTTCAGTTCGGTTTGAACCGATTTTATAACTCAAAAAACCTTCATTAAACCGATTTATGTTTGAGTCCCGACTTTCGGGTCCCGTTTGAGTCGGTGCGGTTTCGGTTCGGTTTTTTTAACTTGCGTTGAAACTTTGAAAAGAAGACCCAATTATTTTTGTTTCACAGGGCCTTCATTTTCTCAGGACCAGCCTTGATATATTATATACTACTTCCGTTCTTAAACACGTGAACATGTTAAATTTTACACTATTCACATGTTCTAATTTGACTACATTTTATTTATCGATGTATTAATATATTTTTTTGAAAAACATATTATTAAATTTGTCTCATTGTAAATTTTCATTTTTTTTTAATTTTTACTAATAGAGAATTATACATATTAATAGTCAAAGTTGTGTCTCGGCAAATGTGAAATGTTGACCGTTACACTTATTTAAGCACGAAGGAAGTATATACCTCACTCAGTCACATTTTAATTTTTCCTTTTAATTACCAAGATATTATCAACGCCAGCACATATATTGATCTTTAATTTATTTGCTGGTATTTTTTTAAGCAAAATACTGTCACACACATTCAATTATTCATGGTCCCCTACCCTCCCCCCGTTTTGATTGATATTGCTGACAGAAAGAGACTTTTCTTTTCTTAAAAATAAAAAGAGCTAAACTTCAAAACTACTACTGTATTAACAAATCCGGAGCTTCATGCACGGAGAAAACATAATACTCGTAAATAAATATACAAACAAACAAATGCATGTATGTATTATTATATTATAATACAAATCAAATACTACCCCTAGCCTCTTCAAATCAAATAATACACAAATATACAAGTCAATGGCCAGAATTTGATAGTTGACAATAGCGTACTTAGAAATACACATGTACACACATATTTTATGGGTATCTTTTTAATTATATAAAAAGGACCAATAACAAATTCTCCCAATTGATGCACGTTGAAAATTGTTAATGAATGATTCTTTAACAAAAGTGTTACGTACAAACACGAGTATTGTGTGTAAAAACACTACCATTATTTCATGTTACAAAATGATTTGTTCAAACATACCAAAAAAAAAATGTAAGTGACTATTAGGAAACGTGAGTTTATGTGATTGATATTGAGTTGATAAAGTAAAAAATATTTAAACTAATTTAGAATCACACAAATTTTACCAAATGTGATATGAAACTATCGTAGTGGGAGAGACTGAAAATGGAATACGTAGTAAGAAACAATGTTAACGAGATGAAAGGTGTATATGATAAAAAGGGTTTCTTGATGTTTCATCTGTCATAGTTCTTGTTCTTATTTGTTATACTGTATGTTACTCCGTATGTTTAATTTGTTTTCTTGAATACTATGAAATGGATACAATAGTTTTTTCTTAGATGTATCAATCATAAAGAGGTTATTCAATTCGTACAATATAACGGTATAAGAGTGTTCCAAATTCATTAATTTAATTGTCACTTCAAAATTAACCTGACATGCGTGTCTTTTAGTTCAGCTACACAGTCATCAGGGAAATACTTGAATTGAAATAATAAACCCAGGTACGTAGAATGTAAAATTTATAAGAAAATGAAGGCAGAGATGAGGGAGGTCTTACTCTCAATGATTTTTTCTACCTTCATGGAGTTGTTCAGTGGTTGGGAAGGGAGAAGATGTTACTCCCTCTGTCCCTGATTTTTCTTCCATTTCGGCCGGGCACACTAATTAAGATAGTGAGTTTTGTGTGGTGGAAACTTGTGCAGAGGAGAGAGAAATGTGTAAGAATGTGTAAGAATGATTATGAACCACAAATTCTTTGCCAAAAAGGGAAGGAGGAGATAATATTGGGACGGACCGAAAAGGAAAGTTTGAAGATAATTCAGGGACGGAGGGAGTAATAAACTTAGCGAGTTCGTGTGGTGGGAAGGAGCAGTCTGAAAGATGATGTAAATCCTGCTGAATTCGTCCTTTGGAGTCAGTACTGACGAGGCTGACAGTGATCATATCCGAATTTAACTTTTTAGGAGCTTTGGAAGGTAGTTCATACACTCCGGAATTAGGGTTGGACAAGCAACGACAGCTGGATCATAAAAAAATATAAAAATATGAAAAAAAAATAACGACATGGATTTCATTTCTTTTCTATTCGACAAGCTAAGGTAAAGTTTCATTCTTTTTTGGGTTACTTGTACACTCCATTTTACGGGTTAGTCAAATTTTCTGCGCACAAATAACTTGTTTTCGTTTTGAAAAAGGAATCGTGTTGCGCACCTTACTGACAATTGTTTGTCTGTGACACAGACAAAACAATTTGTTTCGGAGACAGCAAATTTTCGGTGCGAAACATGATTCTCTTTGTAAAACGAAAAAAATTGTTTGCACACAAATAATGTAGCAGCCGTTTAAATAGTGTCTATAAACAACAGTTCCCTTCTTTATAAATTTAGTAAAAAATACGTAGTATAACAGTACATTTTGGAGGGGAATTTAATTATTTTTTCACTGCACAAATTAAACCCACGCCTCGAATCGTTTCAAAAGGCTCCTAGCTAGCTAGAGCTCTAGGCTTACTTAATGCCTTGCTCTTTAAAATTAAAGTTGCAACCTTTCTACTCTATAAAATCTTCAGCCCTTAAAGCTGACAGATTTCCTCTCCGGCATCCATTCTTTTCTACCCCAGCCATTAATTTCTCTTTTCCTATACCAGCTCAGTACATCTTTTAATTACTATGAACACTCTTATATACAGAGTATGAGTTTCAGTAACTTTCTTGTTTTTACTGCTGTCTATATATGAATTCTGTGCTTATGACTGAAAGGGGTTCAATGTTGGACTACGAATGGGGAAGCCAGCCGGCGACGGTGATGTACTCCGGCGATGAAACGTCAGCGCAAAACCGGCATTTCTTTGACCTCTACGCCACCCAAACGAGCTTCGGTGAGACCCATGCCGGCGACGGGGGTCTAGTCGGGCCCCACACACATTTCGGCGATCATCTCCAGCTGTTCCATCACTCCGCCGGCGACGGCAGCCAAGAAAACACCCACGGCCACATGTGCTCGCTCTACGATCCAAGGGCTGCTTACGGCGGCGCGTCATTCGGCCACCATTCCCAGGTTCCCATGCTCTCGCTCGAGCCCGCCGCACCGGCGGGGTTCGTGGTGGTCCCGAAGAGCGAGCCTCTGGGCGTTGACTTTTCCGGCGCGAACCTCGGGCTGAACTTGGGAGGGAGGACATACTTCTCGTCAACGGAGGAGGATGACTTCGTGAACCGGCTGTACCGCCGGTCCAGGCTGGTCGACTCCGGCTCGTACAACTCCCCGAGGTGCCAGGCGGAGGGTTGCACTGCCGATCTCACCCTCGCCAAGCACTACCACCGCCGCCACAAGGTGTGCGAGTTCCACTCGAAAGCCGCCACCGTCCTCGCCGCCGGGTTGACTCAGCGGTTCTGCCAACAGTGTAGCAGGTTTGTTGGTTCTATTAAGTTTAGCTAACTCCAAATTATTAGGATTATTAATTTATTAAGTACGATGACGTGGTGTTTTGGTATTTGTGAGGATGACTGAAATGTCCTCGGGGCGGTGGTTAATGATTGGGAGTGTCCGGGGAGATCCCGAGGGCATTTGAGTCCGTAAATATTATGTTTCCCGACAACGAGTTTGATACCCCGTTTCACGCATCCCCGTACTCCTTATCTTTTGCTCCTTTTAGTAAAACAGCGTTTCCTATATCTTTGTCTGATCTGAGAAATCTCACCAGTCGTTGGATCAACGTAAAAGGACTAAATCAGACGGCCCATCACAATTTGTGGCGGTTAATCTAATTAATTCTTGTACTCGATAAATTGCCAGAAACAAAAATATTTTGGAAAATGATTTTATTTATTATATTTGTATATAATTTATAAATTTTCCACTTTTATGAAATTCTTTTGAATTTGGAATATGTTGATATGATTTTTATATTTTAAATAAGTTTTTATTAAAAAATATCATTGGTCAAAGTTGATTGTCCTTGATAATAATGTTAAAATAAGCCGTACGTAAATTTTAAGGAGGACATTAAGGTAGTCTTGTTTAAGAGGAAAGTACATAATACTCCTCTAAAAAGTTTTAAATCTTTTATTTTGATCATTGCTCTGTGATTGGATATTTATCTAGAACCTTTCTAGTGATCTTATTTTTCGTCTTATCAAGCTTATTAGTCATAATCAAACACATAATTTTTTATTGTGCGCGCTGAATTGTGTAATAATAAAAAAGTAAGGTTTGAGAGATTTTTTTCGTGGAAGATCATTTTAATTGTTTTTCATGTAATTTTTTCTTTATGTTTATTAATAAAATATATTTTATATATAATTTTTTAATAAATCAGTAGAATCAATTAATTCAGCCACATAAGTTAGAACTTAAGAAATTTCGCAAAATCAATCGATTCGACCTATTTCAGTGTTGCTGAATGTGCGCCTAGTGTTTGTAACAAATGTGACTAAATGTTACTCCGTATTTTTATTCGATTTATTCATTATTTTCCATATTTATGAGAAAAATATCAAAAATGGAGTGAGAACAATGCAAAATTTCATTGCAGGAATACAATTTTCCTTCCTAAATAAGAATACTTTATTGTCATACTGAAATTTTACTACCATATTTTGACCTGAATCAAATAATTTTGGAACTAATAATATACTCCCTAATAATATTATTTGGAACTACTAGTCTTATTTGGAACTATAGTGTTCACATTCCCTAACTTTAACCACGCGGTATTGCTTGTTGTCTTCTTCTATGTTGGAACTGAACTAAATTAACGGTGAAACAGATTCCACGTGCTAACGGAGTTTGATAACGGGAAAAGAAGTTGCCGGCGGAGGTTGGCCGACCACAACCGACGGAGGAGGAAAATCCCGCAGCCAAACCAGGAAAACAGCACCCAAAACAACCAGCTGCTTGACAATGCATATGCCGCCGCCACGAATTCATCGTCCGACAGCCTTCCAAGTGAGCCTTAAATCTCCGGATTTTCCGCAAATTCTTCAACCGTATAAAACATTTTATGTGCTACGGAATATTATTATGATTTTAATCACATGATTATCAACTTTTCTAGTAAAACCATTCTTTCATGGTTGATAAACTGGATCGTTTGTAATTTGTGTAGAATGTAATTGCTTAAACAATAATGCCACTAAAAGTATTAGACGAATCATTAAGAGACATAAGAGTGAGTGGTTAAATTAAAGACTGCCAATGTTTTCTTTTAAATTGTTTCCATACGAGATCAGAACATACTTAAATAGATCAGATCACACTTAAAGAAGCACGATCATACCATATCAGACTCCGATAGTTATAAAATATATGGAGACCACACATTTACCAGATCACAGTAGTTTAGACCAGACCTGATCAAGCCAGATCAGACCATCAAATTTCACTCTAAAACAAATCATCCTAACTTGTGGTGTATCATGCTGAATTCGTCCTCCGTAGCCTGTACTTACTAAGCTTGTCTATGATCAAAATTTGGATTTACATAAGACGCTTTGCCTAATACTCTTTTGCTCAGTTAAGATTATCTCATACCGAATTTGGTAATGTTTGTGTGATTCTAAATCATTCTTATTGTATTGTTACTTTATAAATTCAATATAAAACACATAAACTCACTTTTCTAATAATTGTGTCAACTATTCATGACTAATGTTATGGGGATGTTTAGTAGTTTATAAACATCATATTATAGGATGGCAAACCCAACACCAGAGTTATCAAAAAACAATAAAAATACAACAAATAAAACTAAAGACCAAATCCCCTTTGAATAGACCACCCGGAGATTGAGTCGTGCATGTTTGGGGAACACTCGAATTCGCATTGGCCATGACACATGTGGTTTGGGCCCACGCTGTCAAAATATAATTCAATCCGGCCAAGACTCACTCTACATATGGGCTTTATTTGCATAGTAAAAAAAGGATTGACACCTATCAACCCGACTGGATAGTTAGATGAGAAAATGTAAGTTGGGCTTTAATCACAAACTGTTAGACAGAGAATGAGGTTCTGACCGTGATACTTAGCTTGCACAGATCATATGCATTTTTAGCATAGTAACCTTTCATCGTAGTTGTCAGGATTCGAACCCGAGATTTACCCCTTATGGCACTCCCTATCTACCAGTTCAGCTGTAATATTGGGGGATTTGATAGACTTACCCCAAGCTACGCCCACCGGTAATCTTTATTTGCATAGTAAAATTGAGGGATTTGATATCTACCTTGTTTGGATAGTTTTCGACTTTGCACCAAATTTTTGAATGATATGTGTTCATCCATTTTCAACAAAAAGGATGACACCCCATCCTTGAGGGCCCCTAACCCCGACCAGACGATACGTTGGGAGGATGTAAATTAGACTATAATAACAATCTGATAGATAGAGAGTCGGGCTCTGTCCTCGGTACTTGCAGAGGCCCTATGCATTTTTAGCATAGTAATCCCTCATCGTAGTTGCCGGGATTCGAACCCGGGACCTAACCCTTGTGGCACTCCCTTGCTATCAGTTGAGCTACGCCTACCGGTATGTTCATCCATTTTCAACATTACTAATGTGCGCATCTATTGAAAAATAAATCACTTTTTAGACTTTTTGTGCGATTTCTTCACAATTTTTAGACTGACAGAGCACATATATTAACGATTATGAAAATTGAATGAATTGAAATGTCTAATATAGTCCAGAAGTGAAACTTCAAGTTCAATATCCTCGTAAAACTTTACATGGTTAATTAATAAATAATAATGCTCTATTCGATATTGCTAGTCTCAAATCTCAAATTATGAGAATCATATACTCCGTATTATGTCTGAAATACTTTATTTCTTGCATTGTTTAACTAAAATATTTTAATCAAAAAAATTAAATAGAAATAACTAATGGAATAGTGATACTCCGTATTTACCAATTACATGTATTATTCACAATCAATTATTATTATTGAGTCAATCACGCAGATTGCATGGTTACATCCGGACTATTTTTATCAAAATTATTTATTCTGTTACTACATAATGCTCATTTCATCAAAATTGTGAAATTTTCAAATGTTTTTCGTTTGATATATTATTCATTTGATAAAAGATGCTCATTTGGAAAACAATCATTGATGTGATGAATTGCTCATTTTATCAATTGGGATGCATCATTCTTTTTTTTGATGTATCATTTTTTGGATGTACAACGGTCGACGTCCATGGTTGGTCTCAATGTTTAATATCACGTATTTGATTTGATCAACTTTTTCATCGAACACGTAATATTTGATTGCACGAGTCGAATGATGTAGTAATTAAACAAGACTAAAGTTATATTTCTGATTGAATTAACTGAAATTGTTGAACCTAACTATTTTAATCATTTTCAATTTTTTTTTCTGTATTTTATTAATAAAATATATTTTAAATATTTTATAATTCAGCATATTCAAATAATTCAGCTCTTCCAATCAGAATTTCACCAATATCATCACATTCGGACGATTAAGACATTTCCATGTTACAAGGAAACATATTTTTAATACTATAGGAAACCCCTCATATAAATGATAATTTAATGAGACACTAGGTAAATAATCTAACTCTCAATCACCCACGAAAAGTGCACAATTTAAAAAAAGGATCAAATACATTTTTAATGCCTGCAAAATAGACACGTTTTATTTTAAACCCCTGCAAAATGTTTGTTTTTTTGATTGGTGTAGCATGATGCCATATTTCTTTTTAGTCCTTCTAACGTAACTCTAGGACCACCTCCATTTTGAAATAGATTAATGTTGGTTACATAAATGTAATTAAAAAAAAATTAAATTCATCATTTCAAATATTTTTGCATGCAATGCTAACATTGGATCTAAAATGTTGTAAAACTGATTATTCAAATTTTTAAAATAAGGATTAAGAACACTCTAGAAAGCAAATGACGTATTTTTTTATTAATATAAGAAAGAATGAAGGAAAATTGTTAGGGCCTAAAAAGTAATTCGTAGTTTCAAAACAGAATCAAACATTGCAAAACAATGTCAAACAGTGTCGAAACAGTTCCAAACAGTGTCAAAACAGTAAAATTTACCCCCTGGTAAGTTTATTTCCTTAATATGTGTGTAGGTCAAACCGGGAACATTTCAACGGGACGGAGGGAGTATTTAAACTTTTTACTCATCGCAACAAGAAATATGTAAACTTTTTACAAATCTGTGTACTCCCTCCGTTTCTAAAATAAGTTCCCCATTGCTTTTCACAGTTTTTAAGGGAAAAAAATTACTGAGGGTAAACTTTACTGTTTTGACACTGTTGGGGCACTTTTTGGACGCTGTTTGGCACTGTTTGGACACTGTTTGGCACTGTATTACACTGTTTGACACTGTTTTGATGTAGTTAATTTGCCAAATAAGAAAAGAGGAACTTAATTTGGGAACCATCCGAAAAGGAAAGTGGGAAAAGGAGGGTATTTCATATATGCCATAGAAGTAAGAAAACATCATTCCTCTTACCGAAATTGTACGATATATATGTACAGTGTCTTTACAGTTTTTCCTAAATAAATTCCATCTTTTGTACAAAATATTGAAATATGTGTAATACGTGTAGCGAAATGTTGTGAGAATGCTCAAGATTTCGATCACATCAGCATATACTTAATCACATTATTAATTAATCATTTCATCCTTAAAAAAGTTAATTATTTCAAACATTTTACTGATTAGTATTAAATATTAATTTGTGCCCGTACATCTTAAGTTCATTTGAGCATAGAAGGAATATATATTTTCAAAACTTGAGTTATGTTCAGTAGATATATTTGTGAAGTGTCATTTTATCAAAATCTTGCATTAATAAACACGGAGTACATATTAAATTGAAACGTCACAAAAGCGTGTAGTAGCTTCAGCTTAGAGGTATCATGTTTGATGACCATGTGTAGATCATTTTTTACCATACTCCCTCCGTCCCTATATAAAAGTATTCATTCATTTTACACACATCTTAAGAAAGTGGGTTTGGTTGGTACTGTTTGACACTGTTTGGACACTGTTTGGCACTGTTTGACACTGTTTTGCACTGTTTTGTTTGCCAAAAAAGGAAAGAAAACTTTTATTTAGGGACGGCCAGAAAAGGAAATAGATGCTTTTATTTAGGGACGGAGGGAGTACTTGTTAAATTTAGAATCAGAAAATCTTATAATTAGTTCGGATTTAATTTTAAATAAGATACAGAGTACATTCTAGTACGAAGTACTCCCTCCATATCTAATTAGTTGTCATGTTTGTTTTTTTACGCAGTTTAAGATAACTATTGTAGATTCTATGAAAAGTAAGAGATTGTTGACCCTCTGGCGGTATTGTTGTGGTACTGTAGCTTCTTTTTGAGTGATTTTCTTTCCAAAAAAGAAAAAAAATGAGACAATTTGATACGTCCCAAAGAGGAATTCGGAACAACTAAATAGCTTCGGAGGAAGTAATATTTATCACTGCCGAGTATGTATTGATGTACTGTGGTGGTATATTGGTGAATAAAAAGTTCTAGAGAAATCTTGAAAGATTAGTACGTAGTATGAAATTATAAATAAGGGTGAGACTTCTTGAGTGGAGTGATTTGAGCAGAGAGTGAGAGTCTTCTTGTGACAGTCTTCTTGTGAAATTATAAAAATAAAGATTTCCAAAGCATTGAGGAGAGATCTTAAGAGTGTGAGACTGGGAGCAGGTAGCCTCCTTGAGTGAGGGAGTGAGAGTCTTCTTGTGAGAGTGCAAGTAAAGAGCACATCTTAGGGTGCGAGGAGACGATCTAAAAAGACTTTTCATAAATGTATGTGAATGCGGTACATGGAAATAATCTCGTATACAAAGAGTGAAGTGATTTGAGCTATCCATTATTTACAAAATATTCCTTCTATACGATAGTATTTTATTGTATAATAGGAATTGATATCATGACGAGTCTTTGTGTTACATGTGAGGAGAGTCCGGAAGAGTGCACGAGTACTTCTAGTTCTATGAGTTTGTGATCATGGGAAAATGATGGGGATCATGTTTGCCAACAAGTACGTAGTATTCCGTATGATTTTAGAGGAATATTTATCTATATAAAAAGTATAGTACTCAACTCAAAAAACTTCTCTTAATTATTTCATTTATAAATGTATACGAAGTATTTGTTATCTCAAGTTAGTTTCGTTTAATTACCAGGTTTCAAATATTTTTAAGAGATTATTACTTAAATATTATTGAATAAAAAGTAAGACTATTATGAGATGAGAATAAGGCCTCAATTACTAACTTAATAATGATCATTAATTGTACTTGTATTACTTAATTGTAGTCACTTTTCCCCATTAATTATCATTCTCTTTTTAAAAAGTTTTTTCCAATGATAGGACTAACAAATAGTCTATCGATGAAAACGTGACTATAATTAATATGTGTAAGATTTATATTAACTATAATGTAACATTTGAATACAATTATAATTACAAAAGTTATCCCGATTACATTTTTGCCAACTACTTTTATTTTGATTATTTGACATTAATTTTTTTTAATCAAAGTTTGTGAATGTGGATAGGGTCGCCTGCACCACCGGAATCAGCAGGGTCGTCGTCGGTGACAGTCGCGATTCCGCCGCCAAGAATGTCAATCGACTGCTTCGGGGAGAGGTCATCGTATGGCTACAACCAGCAGCAGGCAAATACTGCCGCGGCGGCGCAGTCTTCTTCGTCGCCTTCCCACAATAATATGGCTGAATTTGGGTTTAATTGTTAAGTGGGAACTGATGCATTGGATGGTCCGAACACATGATGATGATCCCATCATCCATTTCACACTATATCCATCAACCTACCCAAGTATCTGCCAGCTAGTTAGCCACTACTGAGAATTATTATTCATTAATAACAAATTCAAAGACGAATATATATCTATATGTATATTGTTCGGATCAATTATATATGCAATTTGATTGAGTAATACTACTTAAATAGATACAACATGTTGAATTTATACTATTCAAATATTATACTCCGAACAATATTAACTGCATTTTATTTATTAATTTATTAAAAATATATTTTTTGCAAAATATTATTAAAGTCCTCTCATTCATCAATTTTCAAAATCTGATTTCGTTTTTACTTCTTTTACTAATAAACAATGAAATATAGCAATAGTCAAAGTAGTGTGCTAGCAAACAAGAAAACGAAATTATTGCAACTAAAAAAAGAAGGAATAAGGTACTTTCTTCTATATATATTCTACTCTAAATTGATTTTTATACTATGGCGAGAGTGATCAGATCACTAATATCAGCTACTCAGTTCATATTCTCTCTTAGTTCATGCAAGACCAGAAGGTGGTTCAAAGGGAGGCAGTCGTTCGCGTGCTTCGGTATTTTAAGGAGCGTAACACTTAGGACAAGGTATTTTTCTTCGAAGTGATTTAGATCTTCGCTAATATGGCTACCGTGATTCGAATTGGGCCACTTGTCCTTTAACCCGCCATTCAGTTATAGGGTATTATGTGACACTTGGTGATTCAGCCATTTCATGGAGCACCAAAAAGCAACATAAAGTGTCATGCTCATCTGTTGAAGATGAATACCGTTCCATGCCTCATTCGCATGGGAATTTGTTTGTCTCAAGAATTTGTTGCTCTCACTCGGGGTTAAGCATTTGGGCACTATTCATTTGTTCATGAAAACCAGGCAACCCTCCACATTGCATAAAATCCGGTTTTCCGTGAACGTAACATGCTAAGCATATTGAGACCAATTTTCATTTTCTCTTGGACTATGTTCAATCATGTATACTTTCTCCACGTCACAACTCACAAGTCTTCTGGGAAACGACATGCGGATCAACCTCTTAACTAAATCCCTTGGTGCAACCCAAATTTCTTATCTCTCATGTCAGGCCGGCCTGACCAGGACACTCGTCCGATCGAGTCCGTTTGAGGGCCTTCGCGGTGGAATTTTTTGATGAAATGTTTTGAGCATGTTCTTCATCAAGTTTAGTTTACTCGTACCAAGTTTCAGCTAAAAATTCATATTGGGAAGGCAGTAAAATAAATTATTTAGAACACTACGCAGTTAATATATATAAACAACGCAGTATTTTTCAGAAAATCATTGGACTACATTCCTAATTGAATATTTAGCTGAAAGTTGGTTTAAGTAAACTAGACTTGATGAAGAAAATGCTCAAAACATTTCATCAAACGGGCTCGGCCGAACGCAGGGTCGGAGCTAGGGGGTGCCCAGGCTAGGCCCTGGCCCACCCCAAATTTAAAAAATGTCAATATTTTTAGTGTAAAAAATTTCGTGTAAAATTATTTCCAGTAATATTCTTTGTACCGGCCCAGTCTGGCCCAGTGCCCTGGCTCCGCCCCTGGCCGAACGGTGGTTCCCGTCAGGCCGGCCTGACAAGAAGACTACTCTCTCTCTCTCTCTCTCTCTACACACACACACACACACACACACACACACACATATATATACACACACACACACACACACACACACACACACACTTCCTCCGTCCCTTAAAACTTTGTTATCTTTCTTTTTTGGGACGTCCCAAAAAACTTTGCCACTTTCCCTTTTAATCAATTATTTTGTGGTTTTTGTTATTTCTCCCTCCTCTGCACAAACCTCAACCACACAATTTTTACTTTATTATTCCCCGTGCTGGTCAACTTTGGCAAATTTTAAGGGACGGAGGTAATATATACACACACATAGGTGATGGAGTATATGGCCCAGGGACCCCTGGCCCACATACTTCCTCTACTACAATCAAGCCCAACAGGCCCAAACGGGCCAAGCCCAGAAAAATGGAGCTCTAAGCAGCCCACAATACGCAAAGGGGTGCCTTCGGCCCCATGGACGAAGGCTACCAGTGACGGAATCGAGCTCAGAAACATCACAGGAGAACAAGGCTTGAAAACCAAGCCTTCGGCAACTGCAGCCCTCGGCAGGTAGGAGCCCTCGGTAGAAGAGGCATCACAGGAGAACAAGGTTTGAAAACCAAGCCTTCGGCAACTGCAGCCCTCGGCAGGTAGGAGCCCTCGGTTAGAAGAGGCATCACAGGAGAACAAGGCTTGAAAACCAAGCCTTCGGCACCTGCAACCCTCGGCAGGTAGGAGCCCTCGGTTAGAAGAGCCTTCGGTCCAGCACCCTTCAGCCGAAGGCATCCACCTCGACAGAATATCCTCTTCACATGTGTCTGGATCACCGTACCAAATACAAACGTCACATCCAACCACCGCATTTAATGCGGCCACATGCGAGTGCCAGTGCCACACCGGTCGAGGTGACCCCTCGACCACCAGAAAACTGACACGTGTCCTTATCTAGCATTTATTACTACTATAAATAGCACCCCTTTCCCCCATTGTAAACCACGCTTAATACATATCGAATATACACTCTCTCTCTGATTTGTTTGCTCTGACTTCTCTCTAGTTATTCTCTGCAATAACCCCTCGGATAAGCTACCCCCCGGGTACACTATCCATCATTTGGTGCTTTCATTGAGAGTTCGAACAATCAAGTAAGAAACCCTACCCTTCAGCTAAAAACACCTATCAAAATGGGAAGAAACACCCGTGCCCAATCCAAGACTCATGAGGACAGGAACCTGGCCCTCGGCGACGTCGACGCCCTCGAAGCCTCTAACATGGTTCCTGAGGGCGGCGCCCTCGCTGGGTTGGAACAGACGGTTGTCGACCTGCGCCTTCAGCTCCAACATAATGCCCCCGATGCCCGCCTTGGCATCGAGGCCAAAAAGAAGGATCGGAGCGAAAACCAAATGAGCCCTCCGGTTCTCACCATTGACGTACAATCAGCATTCTCCGCCTTCATCCAAACTCTCACTCAAAACCCAGGTGCCTTCGGCACGCTGGTACCTCTTCAACCGCAGGTCGGGGAGAACGCCATTCTCCCCCCTCCTCCGCTCCCCTTCGTGAACCCTATCCTTCGGTTAGGGAACAACGAGAGGGTTGTGGCCCAGGACACCGCCTCTCAGGAAGTCCAATCCCGAGACCGCCACGGCGCAAACAAAGAAAGGCCCTGGACCTCCGCCCTCTAGAGACTCGGAGGGGCGCTAGACCGCCGAGGGGTCCAAGACTGCCTCAACGGAAAGGTGCTCCAAAGACCTCAGGAAAGTGGCGGATCCGTCTCCAGGGCAGATGAGAAGCTTCCCCCTCGGGATAAAGGCAAAGCACCCCTCTATGCCGACGGCACCCGACATCGAATCAACCAGGCCCGCTCGGCCCATGGCCATTTGCAGGGGGCGGAGGCCCTCCTGAAGGACACCAGGGACGAAATTATTGCGGCCCTCCAGCACCGGCTTGATGAAATGGAGACCCATCAAGCACATACCGCCGTTACCGCCCCTTATGCAGATTTTAAATATGAGGCCATGCTCGCCAAAATGGAGGAGATGCAAAGGAAATTTGCCGAAAGGCTCCGGGGAACCCGTCATCCAACTCTGAGCTAGGACGCCATTTACCCCAAGGGTATTGGCGGCCCAAATCCCGGAAAAGTACCGAGGGCAACTCATCAAGCCCTATGAAGGAAAAACTGACCCCAGGAGCACTACAACAGGTATCAAAACAACATGATGATGATGGGGGCATCAGATGAATACTTATGTCGTTGGTTCCTTTCCACCTTGGAGGGACCAGCATACGAATGGTTCAACCGATTGCCCGAGGGCAGCATTGACTCTTGGCAAGATCTTGCCCAACGCTTCCTCACCCATTTTCGCGGAAGGAAGCGCGCGAGAAAACACTTCTCCCACCTCCTCTCCGCCAAGCAACAGCCTGACGAAACACTTCGGTCCTTCATTGATCGGTGGATGAAGGAGACAGACGAGGTCGAGGGCGCCGACGAGCGTACCCTCCTCGTCCTCTTCCAGGGGGTTCTCCGCAGCAGCCCCTACGCACAGAGCCTCATCACCGACCCCCAAGATCATACCTAAAAGCACTCCAGCGGGGGAGCTTATACGCCGACGCCGACGACCTCCACTCCTTCAAGAAGAACGAGGGCCAGCCCTCGAAGAAGACAAACAACACGCCGTCCCCAAATGCGCCCTCGGCCGGAGGCCGAGACCATGGAAGCCACACCCAGCGGGGCCGTAACGAACGCCAATGGCGCCCTCGGCTGGACATGCCGAGGACTCCCCTCACGCACCCGGTGAGCACTATTCTCAACTATGCAGAAGAGCAGGACCTTTTCCCCAAGGACCCTCGGTCGGCGAGGGAGATCTACGCCATCCACCAAGGCGGCACTTATTGCTGTTACCACAAAAGCACCTCCCACAATACAGACGATTGTGTCTCGTTAAAGAAGGCTATTGAACTCTTAATTCAACGGGGTGAGCTCCACCAATTCATCAAAAATGCCCCAAGGAAAAACACCGGGGAGAACACCGATAAAGAAGAAGGGAACATCGCAACGAAGAAACATGAAATCGGGAGGCTCAGCGACGGCGAGGAGTTCGAGGAGCCCCAGCCGAAGAAGCGCCACCTCTGCTAATCATGTTCCTCGCCTTCGGCGCTAGTCTCAGCCTTGGGCCCTCGACCTCGAGGCACATTACCATCCCCTCGGCCTAGAGCCCTCGGCCTTGAGCGGTGAATCTTAACAAAGCCGTTGTCAAACAACGCACCCCTTATATTCCGCTTATTTCCATGAATTTAAGTAAACTACAACACAATCCAGACATCTTATCGGCCCCTTCGAGGCCAAATTTCCAGGTATGGCCGATGGTGTCTAAAGACGAGGGGCCTGCAAAAGGCCCGCGTTTTTGGAGCGGGACGCTCGCCGCGTCGCCGGCGCGCAACGCACGGCGAAAGGCCTGAAAGAATGGATGAGGTGACGAAATCCCCAAACTTGGGGGTGAAACGGCAGTCGTCGGAAACCGACCAAGCCTAGCCCGCGCCGTAAATAGACGACGGGACCCCCCAAGGTCAAGGGAGAGTTTAGCGCTGGGGGACTAATAGACGAACCCCCGGACGGATCACTTGGACC